ATCCCACATGAGTGTCTGTACACATGAACACACAAGTGAGCACACACACATCTCACATGAGTGTCTGTGCACATGAACACACAAGTGAGCACACATATATCCCAAAATAAGAATGAGCATGGGACCACACAGACACAAAAGTTTCAATTAGACCTTTTAATGGTATAATTCATTAAAACATAATTATACCTCTTATTAAATGATTAATCAAAAGATTTGAAGAAAAGGTCATGCTGAATGTTAATTATACATCCTTAAAAGAATTCCAAAGATATTAACAACTATATTCATTACAAATTAATTTAATCTTTAGGAAGGCAATTTAGCATTATCTTTAAAATTTGTAAATGCATATATGTTTTTGCTAAAAAAATATGATTAGAAATTTATCATTAAATTAAATTTTAGAAGTACACAAAAACTACAAAAATAATGTCATATATATTATTAATAATACCTAATTTGGGGGAGAATCTAAACATTCATTAGTGAGAAAATTATGATCATGGTTATATATATATATATATATATATATATATATATATATATATATATATTAGGTGATACAAAATAATCTCTAAATATGAAAAGGGAAATATGAAGGCATAGAAGAACCTGTAGCAAAACAACCTGAATCTGTTTTTATAAACATGTATGATCTTCAAATATGCCTGCACAGAAACCTTAACAATGAATGGTGTGATGGTTTCAAACTGATATGTGCCACCACATGCATGGATATTAAAGTAAAGGCTTAATCCCAGCTGGTGCTATGGTAGGTGCCTGGATCATGAAGGCACTGACATCATCAGTGAACTCGGCCATTGGAGTCATAGCTAAAGGGGCAATTAGGAGCTTGTGTTGGGGTAGAAATGGTTAGTGAGTACCTGGTTTTGATTAATGTTCAGCGCTATCTCTCTCTCTCTCCCTCTCTCTCCCTCTCTCTCCCTCTCTCTCTCTCTCTCTCTCTCTCTCTCTCTCTCTCTCTCTCTCTCTCTCCTTCCCCTCCTTCCTTGACAACACCTACTCAAACTGTACAAATATTGAATTTAAAACTAAAAGAAAAATAACAACTTAAAAAAAGAATCACTGGTTTGTTTTTGGTTTTGTTTTTTAAATATAACAGGAAGGAAGATATAGACCCACAGGTATAACCGAGAACAAATGCACAGGTTTGAAGCATTTGCTAAAAGCTCAATGCTTAAAGCTTACCTGACACTTGGCACTGCAGTACTTGGCAATTCGGCATTGAGAACACCGCATCAGCTTTTCCTTCCTGTTAAGAACAAGTAGTTCTGTGTTAGAGAATAAGAAACGTAAAGCTGCAGACAGAAAACCCAAGTCAGCGCATCGATGCCGACAGCTCTACTCACTCCTCACGTTGGAGCCTTGAAGACTTAGATTTTTTTAGGAGCTGGAATGATGCTTGTTGCTCAAGCATGAAGACCTGAGTTTGGCATCTCACAGCACATAAAAGCTGGATGTGGCTGTGTGCATGTACATCCCCACGACTAGCAAGAGCTGAAGTATGTGGATCCCACTGCATGCTGGCCAAAGTCAGCCTAGCCAAAGCAGTGACATCCAAGGGTAGTGAGAAAGCCAGCATCAAAATAAGATGGACAACAATAAAGGAAGACACTCTGGATCCTAGGCACAAGCACAGGTAAACAGGCTCTGTGGATAAACATGTGCATGTACAAACACACACACACACACACATACATGGGGGGGATATTTGGATTTTAAACGGCGGAACATCCTCTTTCACCCTCCAGGTGATGCTCTTTGGTTAGGCTATGGCATACCATTGTGATACAGCTATTTCCTCTCAGTTTGATGATGAGTATCTCCCCTGTGAAGCATAGCAGCTATGATGAAGTACACAAGACCCTCAAGAGATCCAGCGAGAGGACAACATGAGACCCAGGAGACCCTGTCAGACCCGTCCACTCCCAAGAATTCTACTCACCACTACGTAAGTGGTTGGATAAGGTAGCACTTCTCTGTGCTATTAGCTGTCCAAAGGGCACGTCTTGGGTAACCTGACATCATGGCTGCTTGTCAGTTACCTGGGTTCCTGTAAGTCACCTCAGTAAACTCACTGGCTCAGCCAGATGGGCTTGGATGCAATCCTTTCTTTAGTTGGTCAGCACCCTCTCTAAGATGAACAGTAGGTCCATCTCCCAAAGAAAAGCCAGAAAACAAGATATTCAGCAGGAAGCTAATACTTTAACCTGCTATTTTCAAGGATAGAGTTCAGTGGCATTAGCAACGTTCACATCTGGAGTGGTCACACAAAGCCCTGTGCCCAGAATGTCTGAAGTCCGCTATTCAATTCACAGTAACAACAACAGCAGCATTCACATGACAACTATTCACGTGCTGTGTAACTAGCATCACCATTCATTCTCTTTTTAAGCTAAATTTAATATTTAAATATATTCTTTTTTTTTTAAATATGTTTTTTTTTGTTTTTTTTTTGTTTTTTTTTTTTTTTTAGATTTATTTATTTTATTTATGAGTACACTGTAGCTGTCTTCAGACACACCAGAAGAGGGCATCAAATCTCATTACGGATGGTTGTGAGCCACCATGTGGTTGCTGGGATTTGAACTCAGGACCTCTGGAAGAGCAGTCAGTGCTCTTAACCTCTGAGCCATATCTCCAGCCCTTTAAATATATTCTTATCTAGACACTCAGTCTCTCTTCATGGGAATGTTACTGTCACCATAGGGAATCCAAAGTCAAATACATCACCTGATGGATTCTCTTATCTGAAGTGTTTAGGACGAGTATTTAGAATTTTGGATTGTTCTTCCCATATTTTAACTGAGATGATGAGATGTTTTAGAGATGGCAACCAATTCTAAACATCAGCTTCATTTCCATTTTGTGCATACTCTGTGCACACAGCCTGAAGCAAGTGCATTTTTAGCACACTTGTGATTAACTGCTGCCTGATATATAAGGTCAGCCCTGGACTGTCTACCATCATGTGGACACTCAAAATATCTCACATTTTAAAGTGTATAAGATTTTAATCATCTGGTTGTGGATCTTCAAACTGTACTCTATATACTCTAAATATAAAAAAAAAATGTTATGAGTCATCTCCCCAGACTCCCAAAGTCATCATACATCCTAGGTCCTGATTTATTCAGCTTAATAAGAGTCCTGCTAAGAAATGACTTAGAAACTCCACTAAGTCCTACTTCAGACAGACAGGATTACGACCGAAAGGCATCAGAGATGTTTTTCCCAAGTCACTTGAGCAACAAAACCAGACATTTAAAAGGCTGAATCATAAAATTAAAATAAGTCTGGTAACATTAATGATGACCAACAGAGAAGACAGCGGAGTGGTAGACAGCCAGGGCAGGCCAAAGCACCAACTGCCAGAGTGTGACGGGGTCAGTGGGAAAACAGAAAGACTGACTGTGAGTGGTTGCTGGTGTTCAGGGCATGGTGCCATTTCTGTTCATCCACTAACTCATGTCAAACTTGAAAGAGTCCTAGAAAGCGGGCAGCATTATATGTCTGTGGGGCAGTGGGGTATGAGAAAAAGCCAGAAAGCTTGGTAGAAAGATCTGAAGCCTCAGGAACCTTGGTCTAAAGAAGGCCAGTAGGATAGGAGGCCGCTTCGAACTTTCCCAAAGCCTTATGGCTCTCTTAGCTTCTGCCCCCCACAACCCCTCCCACGGAGAGGTCCATGGCCTTGATCACATAGGATTAGCACCTCCATGCAAATAAGGCATTCCCAAGCTCTCAAACCAGACCAATAGGAGCTACCTGCTCTCCCCCCAAAACTGTATATATCCCCCAGAACTCAAAAGTAAAGGTGTTGTGTGGTGTGAGATCTTTCCCACTGTCGGAGTGCTTTGTCTCGATTCCTCGCCAGTTGCCGGCCATCCTGCGCACATCACTTCTCACCTCCCGGCTCCACAGTTCACGGTTAGGGCAGAGCTGTAACACTTTTCTCTCTGCAGGCACTCCCGGGCTGCCCTCGGAGAGAGGGAACCGAAGGGGCTGTAACACTCGCCCGCCTTTGGAGGCTGGAGCAGAGGCAGACCCTCCAGTCCTCTCCCCACCCTCTCGGCCCCAGCCGTCCAAGGCTGCTGTAGCCGCGACTCGAGAAGCTATGTCGGCCCTGCCCCGCGCAACCGAACAGCCGTTTTCACTCCAGTTCGCGCCCGTCCGTGACTGCCTCAACTCACATCCTCGGCTCGCCAGCCGGGAAATGCTTTGCTCTCCCCGGCTACTGCCCAAGCCCTGTACCACTGCAGCCGCGGTTTCTCGGAGCCCGTGCCTCGCGCCCTGCCCGCTCTCACTGAGCCGCGGCACCCGGGAAGCCCGCCGCCCGCTTCGGCTCGCGCCCACACCACCACCCACGCCCCGCAAACCCGCCCACGACCCTGACCGACATATGTCTACGTTAAAAACACTTAGTACATTTTCAAAAGATCAGAAGCAGATGCTACCCAGGGGTGGTGCCTCATGCCTGTAATCCTAGCAGAGGCAGGGGGATATCTGTGATAAACCAGCCTCGTCTACATAGTGAGTTCCAGGATAGCCAGAGCTACATGTGAGATCCTGTCATTTTTTTTTTAAGTAGATGCTATAGTATAAATCAGCTGGGGAGCATGAAGCGACGGTCATGTGTCAGGTGACTCTGCAAGAGTAAGGACAGCCTTGTTGGAAATGAGAACTTGATCACTTGATTGTCTGCTTCCTTCCTACTGGAGGTTTCAGGCCTATGAGGGGCCTATGCTTCCTACAGCCAGCTGTGAAGGAGAGCTGCCAAAATCTACACACCAGGAAGCAGACCAGGCCAACCAGTCTGGCCTTAAAGGTCTGCATCTAGCCATCACATTCTACTGTCATTTATAAATAAAACTGAATAAAAACTCAATCTACTCATGCTTCGAAAAAAAGGACATGCAAAGTGGGGTGAGACAGCTACATCAGGCAAACTATTAAAAAAAAAAAAAAAAGAAAAGCCCACGTTATCGTATCAATGGTTAAAGAAGTCATAAGAATAAAGGAGGTCAAAGGGGAATGATAAAAGACCCCAGTCACCAGCTGCTATATATCCAGTAATTAATGTATCAAGTCTCAAAGCATGTAGAGTACAATAATAGACCTTTAAAAGAAAAAAATAACCAACACACAATTAAGTTAATATATGTAAGGACCTTAAAATGGTGTCTGGAATACAGGAAGCACCATGCAAGAGGTAGCTATTACTATTAAAACACAGAGTGTCAAGCCAGGCCTGGTGGCACACACCTTTAATGCCACCTTTAATCCTAGCAGATCTTTGAGTTCAAGGCCAGTATGGTTATAAAGTGAATTCCCGGACAGCCAAGGCTACACACTCTATCTTGAATTGAAACACACACACACACACACACACACACACACACCGGGGGTGGGGATGGGGGGATGGGGAAGAAACATTGTCTTCTGAAAATTCACTAACCAAGCAAATAAGGACAAAGTAACTTCATGATATGGTTGTGTTGTCACAAATCTTTTAAAAGCATCCACTGGCCACTCTTTCTGTTTGTTTGTCTGTCTGTTTAATGTATATGAGTGCTCTGTCTGCATGTACACCTGCATGCCAGAAGAGGGCATCAGATCCCATTACAGACGGTTGTGAGCCACCATGTGGTTGCTGGGAATTGAACTCAGGATCTCTGGAAAAGCAGTCGATGCTCTTAACCACTGAGCCATCTCCACCCCCACCCCCACCCCCACCCCCACCCTTCCTATTTATTTATTCATTTGTTTGTTTGTTTATTCCCTGGCCACTCTTTAAGAGCACCTGTAAGAATAAGTAATATCAGTCATTTTCTCTAACAATGGAAGAACTAGAAATGTAATCTTTAAAAACCCAATACAATCTCTTCAAGGTGGAGCAAGTTTCTATATAGCCTGAAGAACAGAAGAGTCACTATGGAGAAAAGAAGAAATACTGTAAGTCAATATTTAAGGAAATGCCTAAACTTGTACTAAAAATAACACAGAAAAATTTTAACTTTAAATATTCATGTAAAAGAAAAAAACCTGAAACTAAATGAGGTAAACATGAAAACCAAGAACTTAAATTCGAGCCAGATAGAGATGTTCACCTGTAATCCAAGCACTGAAAGGCAGAGGCAAGAGGGTTACTTCTGAGACACTATCTCAAAAACAACAACAAAAACTCACAAATGTTATAATAATAGAACATCAAGGAGGACAAAAAGTAAAAACTACAATTGTAGACTGGTGAAT